TTTTGTGATAAAAATTCATCAAAATCAAGCATTTATAGATGGATTTTGTTTAACATTATGAGACCTTGATGCAAGTCATTTTATTTTTCAGATCCAATTAAAAATGGCCAACTGGCGGCCATTTTGTTTTAATGAATGCAGTTCTAATGCCATATCTCTGCCATGCTTTGACTGATTATGTTTAAATTTTATATATTCATTGTACATCATTACATAGATATATTGGTTTGACTATCTGATTTAAAATGTTCAAATGGCAGCCATTTTTGTGCTAAAAATCTTCAAAAATCAAACATTTCTGGCATTCCAGAACTGGATCTTTGTGTTTATGGATAAACTTTGTTCAAACTTGGTACATACATTAGAGATTTTGGGTTCCTGGTGCATGTCATTTTATTTTTCAGATCAGATTCAAAATGGCTGGCTGACTGTCATTTTGTTTAAATGAATGCGCTTCTAGAGCCATATCTCTGATATGCTTTGACTGATTATGTTCAAATTTTATATATTTGTTTTACATCATGTTATAGATATACAGATGTATTCAAAATGGCCAATTGGTGGCCATTTTGTGTTAATTAATGCTGTTCCAGAGCAATATTTCTCAATATGGACAAGTACTCGTTTGATGATCAGATACAAGATGTCAATAATTTTAATGTTAAAAAATCATCATAATCAAGCATCATCTGCTGGATCCATACTTCTGACATGTTTATGTTCCAACTATATTACTATAAACAAAACTATATATCTTAAATTTGATAAGTAATGGGGACTGTGCCATGCATGGCTTGTTTAAAGTGCAATCCTTTTATTTATGTTCTCTAACTTACTTATTGTAGGAATGTTTGGAGTTCACATATGAAATGGCCAAAGATACAAGATCAAAACCTTTGGGAGCACTCACACCAGGTTTTAATTTGTCAATCAAATTAAGGAATTGGATTGAGGAATTTCTGCCTGCAGATGCTCATGAACTAGCCACAGACAAGGTGTTCATTTCAGTAACTTGTCTTCATGGGAAAAAAAATGAATTGGTATCAAAATATGAAACCAGGGAAGATTTAATTCAGGTTAGTGAAATCTGTATATCTTTTGCCATCATATCCATGATAATGATATATTATTACTCCTGACTTTAATTTGGAAAGTGTTTTAACTTGATATTCCATATTTTGCTTTTAAAGTTGCTGTTGTTTTCATCTGTTTATATTCATTTCATGTTTGATTTATTTTCTATTGAACTTTGTGACATACACATATATGCACATGAGTTTGATTTTGGATAAAATATAGTTGGCTGATTGTTATTTTAACCCCAAATTTGCATGAAACCCGATATGAGATGACTGGGTAATCTTAGTATAATGAAAATTAGTTCTCCCTCTAAGAGTCAATACATTATGCTATTGATAAAGAGTCAATGCTCAAAAGATATTTTTAATAGTTATTTAGGACAAGGATTAGCAGATATTATCTACAGGACTGATATTGTACAAATCAAGTCAGCTTGTTGACTGCTGGGGAGAGAGGTCTTCAAGAAAAACAAACAAACTGTGACTATGTAGATGTGAGGCACAAATTTGTTTATCGCTTTTTTTTATGAAATTTAGTTTTCCAAATTACAAATCCCATAACTTAGAGTTCTTATAGATCTTATTGGAACTTGTGATTTTGACAAATTTGTTCTTTATTTCTTTCTTTTACAAGGTTGTATTGATGTTCATATATTCCCTTTAATTAGAGAATGGTTTCAACCAAGTCTGTGGCATCAGTGTTTCCAATTTTGTTTAGCTTTGTGTTTACATGGAAGGTATTTTCATAACTGGTGTGGTATAACCTGCGGCTGTGTTTTTACAAGTGAATTCTGCATTCTGTTATTACCGGAGGATATTACAAAAATGCATAACTTGAGGGTTCTGGGTATAACTAACTGTATTTCTATTTATTTGACAGGCATTATTATGTTCTTGTCATATCCCATACTATGTTGACAGGAAGTATCCAGAGTTTAGAGGTCAGGTGAGTTTGTTGATACTTCGATAGTCCATGTAAAAAAATTGAAAATAAATAAAAATTTGCTTTTTGTTGATTGGTTCTCATCTGTGTGCATGTCCCTGTACATGTACAAATGCTTGTACTGCTGTGTGTATGTGATGCACTGCTCCATTTTGTGTTGCTCTGTCACATATTGTGATCACTGCTACATTTTGTGATGCATTGCTACATATTGTGATGCACTGCCACATATTGTGATGCACTGCCACATATATTGCACTGCTGCATATTGCAATTCACTGCCACATATTGTTTTTGCACTGCTACATATTGTTTTTGCACTGCCACATTTTGTGATGCACTGCCTAATATCATGTTGCACTGCCACATATCGTGTTGCACTGCTACATATTGTGTTGCACTGCTACATATTGTGTTGCACTGCTACATATTGTGTTGCACTGCCACTGCCACATTTTATGATGCACTGCCTAATATCATGTTACACTGCCACATATCGTGTTGCACTGCTACATATTGTTTTGTACTGCCACATTTTGTGATGCACTGCCTAATATCATGTTGCACTGCTACATATTGTGATGCACTGCTACATATTGTGATGCACTGCTACATATTGTGATGCACTGCCACATATCGTGTTGCACTGCTACATAGTGTGTTGCACTGCCACTGCCACATTTTGTGATGCACTGCCTAATATCTTGTTGCACTGCCACATATTGTGATGTACTGCTACATATCGTGTTGCACTGCTTAATATCATGTTGCACTGCCACATATTGTGATGCACTGCTACATATCGTGTTGCCCTGCCACTGCCACATTTTGTGATGCACTGCCACTGCCACATTTTGTGATGCACTGCCTAATATCTTGTTGCACTGCCACATATTGTGATGCACTGCTACATATCGTGTTGCACTGCCACATATTGTGATGCACTGCTACATATTGTGTTGCACTTCTACATATTGTGATGCACTGCCACATATCGTGTTGCACTGCTACATATTGCGATTCACTGCCACATATCATGTTGCACTGCTACATATTGTGCTGCACTGCCACTGCCACATTTTGTGATGCACTGCCTAACATTATGTTGCACTGCCACATATTGTGATGCACTGCTACATATTGTGTTGCACTGCTACATTTTGTGATGCACTGCTTAATATCATGTTGCACTGCTACATAGTGCGATTCACTGCCACATATCGTGTTGCACTGCTACATATTGTGTTGCACTGCCACTGCCACATTTTGTGATGCACTGCCTAATATCATGTTGCACTGCCACATATTGTGATGCACTGCTACATATTGCGATTTACTGCCACATATGGTGTTGCACTGCTACATATTGTGCTGCACTGTCACATATGTTGCACTGCTACATATTGTGTTGCACTGCCACTGCCACATATTGTGATGCACTGCCTAATATCATGTTGCACTGCCACATATTGTGATGCACTGCTACATATCGTGTTGCACTGCTACATTTTGTGATGCACTGCTACATTTTGTGATGCACTGCTTAATATCATGTTGCACTGCTTAATATCATGTTGCACTGCTACATTTTGTGATGCACTGCCACTGCCACATTTTGTGATGCACTGCCTCGTATCATGTTGCACTGCCACATATTGTGATGCACTGCTACATATCGTGTTGCACTGCTACATTTTGTGATGCACTGCTACATATCGTTTTGCACTGCTACATTTTGTGATGCACTGCCTAATATCATGTTGCACTGACACATATTGTGTTGCACTGCCACTGCCACATATTGTGATGCACTGCCTAATATCATGTTGCACTGCCACATTTTGTGATGCACTGCTACATTTTGTGATGCACTGCTTAATATCATGTTGCACTGCCACATATTGTGATGCACTGCTACATATCGTGTTG